ATTTATTATGTTAAATATTCCTTTTATTATTTCATTATTTAAGTTTTTAAAGTTTTATTTTAGTTTTGTTATAACCTTTTACATTCTTGTGATGTTATGTTTATAACCTCTTACATGTTGTAATATTATGTTAATGATCTCTTATATGTTTGTAATGTCATATTTATAGTTTGGATCTCTCACACATTGTGATGTCATATTGTTAGAATAATTTAATAAATTGAATTTATAATATTTCACTTGTCTATAAATTATCATCATAATTATTAAATATACATTAAATTATAAGAAGATTTCTTAAATCACTTTTTAGCTGACTAGTAATTTATTGAATACACGTCATCAACCTTTAGTTATTTATCTTATCTCTTCCACCTGACTTGAAATACATATTGATCACATAAGAAGATATAATATATTTGAAACCCAAGTAAAACAGTGACAATATATTTAGTTTTAGCATCAATTATTATTACTTAAATATATTTAATATTTACTTTAAATCTATATTCTTATTATCCAGTTTTAAAAATATAAATTTATTGTTTTGTCAAAAATATTTAAACAAAACTAGAAATAAAAAAATTATAGCATCTTTAATATCAAATAATACTTACAATTTCTCATTTTAAAACTGATAATTTAAATATATAATTATAATTAGTGTTGTTAACTGGATCATACTGAACATAACCCAATACTGTGCCACGGGATCACTGGACTTAGTAATTTATAAGTAGTCTGGTTACTGGGCATAATAACGTGACAACGCTAAGTATAACATAATCAAAGATAAATAATTATCACACTAAAGAATTTGCTATATAGTTTTTATATACGCATTTGTATTTCAATGATCAAGAACATTCTTCATTAATGAAATTTATTTTGGAAAAATATTCACTATTAAAAGTTCACTATGTAAATCACTTAATTTCCTAAATGGCAATAAATTGGGTTAAATAAGTATAGAAGCTATGAGCATTATCTTTGGAAGCGCTAGAAATTTTCCCCTAGAGATATACGGATCTTTCCTATTTCAATGGTAAATACCCGTTCATATTGTAACCTGCTAGAATGAGATCCAATTCTGCTATACTAATTTATTTATTTATTAATTTTTTTTATAAATTAAAGTATCAATAACTTGCTTAACAACATGTCAAGCAGTGTTATTAACTGGATTATACTGAATATAATTCAATACTGTATTACTAGATCACTGAACTTAGTAATTTTATAAGTTCAATATGGTCCAGTCCATCAAACCGATCCTTAAACAGCAAGCACATCGACAGGCGTCTACATAACTAATGTTTACTGCAAGTTCACTAGTAATCTTCATCGAAATAGATAAACACCAGAAACTCAAGATACTAAGGGAAAAGAAAGAGGTTCAATTGTCAAATGAATACATAAACGGCTATAAGTGAAGTGTTGATCTCACAAACCTTTCTATCATCTGCGACAACAGGCAACTTGTGAAGAAGCGGGAATTCAATGAAATTTCAACTCCATCCTCTTGGTCGAAATGAGGTTAAATGGTTTTATATGGCAATAAAGCCAATTCGGTTTATTTCCACATAGCAAGACCAAAGATTGTCAGCTCCTTGTTCACAGATCAGTTTGCGCCAAGAACACTGGGCAATTTGAGAATGCTTCATTCGACGATTGCAAAACGAGGTGAGAGTATACAGATTAGTCAAAAAATATCCAATTAACAAACATTAATATTAAACAACAAAAGATAAAAATTAATCGATGAGAATCATTTGCATGATAGGAGCGGGTATGAGAATGCAGAAGAAAAAAAGCACAAGTTAATCAACGTTACCTCAAATATAGTGATAACTGCTCAACCAAAAACGCGAGTAGTTGACTGATTATTCTCTTTCCTTCTTCTCCCTTTATTACGCTTCACCTACCTTACCATGTGAAAGATTCCAGTTCTGCTAAAAACTTATTTTTGTTAGAGTTGATCACTTGACACTCAGTTGTCGGGAAAAAACGGTTATGTGTGCGTATGAGTTATGATGCATACCAGAATTTTGAAAAAAAAAACGGTGGCTGATGGTACGTGTAACATACAACATTGTTTGATGTTATCTGAATAACGATACTAGAATACTAGATAAGTTCCGAGATACGTATTTGATATACACGTGTGTTCTTTTTTTTCATTGTGGTTCCATTGTTCAATGAAAAAAGTAATGCAAGTACTAAAATTGAAGATGATTAATGTTTACGGAATTTAGTTTCTATCTCTATGTTCTGGACAATTTTAAGCACACGGAGATTCAGTAAATTCGTAATATCAGGGACAGACAAAAGCTTGCATATTACCAAATGTACTTTTATTACGGGGCTTGCTTTAAATAATGTTACTAAAATAGAGTAATCTTTTAGAGGAAATATGTATTTTTTTCTGTGTGCACGTTTTTTTATAGACTGTTGGACATGTAAATGCAAAGAATAAGTTAATTTTTAATAAAATACCATAGCTAATTTTTAATCTAGAGGAACAAATCAATTGCTCTCGAAATTGAACATAGATTCCTCAATCATTAATACGAAATAGTATTTACACTTTATGAAATTTCTACCAAACTAAAATATTTGTTCACCATGCATATAGATAAAAATAAAACTCGCGGATCAAATCTAATTATAAATAATAGTGATAACGATAATAATAATATTAAAAACCCTGCCTGAATATTATTACAGGAAATAGATTATACAGGTAAGTACACGCGCGTACAGAAGAAACAGACATAGACACCCGTTTTTTTTTGGTAAGTAATAATAAATTACAATAACGATATTGATTAATTATTGTTTGTTTTATATACTGTATATACATGTATATAAAAGGATTATTCAACAGCATCGCTCCAACCAGAATGTTAAAAAAGATAATTGTCTATTAACTAAATCCCAGAACAAAAGTTGAAGTGAGTGAAAAATAATTATTCTTTGAATTCCTTTTCGGAGGAAATTAAAAAGTTATTTATCTTGGCAAAAAAGGTGTTTTGTGTTTACTATTATATGTGTGTGAGAGAGCAAGTCATACCGGGTATAATGTTTAACAGCCAAAATATCTTAATAAAAACGAACTAACTAAATAGAACCAGAACCGTGTGTGCATTTATATATATATATATATTTGGTTGTTTCCTTTCGTTTTCTTCTTACTCTTCTTTAAACGTACACTCCCGGTTTCATTTCGCTCACTCTGTTCATTCTTTAGTTTCATATAGTGTGAGTTCAACTACCGTAACAAAATAAACAACTTTATAAATGCTCCGGGAATAGGGACTAAGAAGACACTATTATTTCAACTTTTTATTTATAATTTTTGCTATTACTTTCCGAGAATTAGATTGTTTATTATTAGAACTTTAGTAAATTTTACTTTTACAACTTGACACCTAATATTATTTATCCTTTTGTTCTAAATATTCGAAGGCAATTATTACATTCTAAACAAATACTCTTGACAATACACACATATATACACACACACACACATATATATACACACATACACACAAAATGTCAAACCTACCTAAAAAGACCAAAGAAGTTATCAGACGCAAATTAGTTATTGTCGGTGATGGAGCTTGTGGAAAAACATCATTATTGTCGGTATTCACGTTAGGCTATTTTCCAAAGGTTTGTTGTTTAAAGTTCTACTATGTGCACTCATTGTTCGTTCTTTTTCTATTGCTCTAACCGATAAAGTTTTATTTTAGGATTACGTATGTCTAATTTAATATTATTTCGTGATTGAACCATCACGCGGGGCAAAATTACATAATATTCATAATTTGTCGATTGTAATAGATTCCCACTGTTTTCGACAATCTAGTAACTGATATCAGAATAGACAATAGACCGGTGCAATTGGCATTATGGGATACGGCGTATGTATATTTTTAGTGGTATATTTTATTATTATTGTTGAATTCTAACTTTTTCATTTTGATTCATTTTTGTAGAGGTCAAGAAGAATACGAGGTAGTTGACTTATTTCCATGTCTCGCTCTAATTATGAATTCACAATCCAATTATTCTCATCGAATCATTTATCATTTCATATTGAAAAACTAGCGTCTGCGACCTCTTTCATATTCAAAAGCGCACGTGATTCTTATCGCATATTCGGTAAATCAACCAGATTCATTAGAGAATGTAGCTGCAAAGGTAGGTCTATCATGTAGCTTATTTAAGTAAATTCTAGATTGGCTTAATAACTAGTTTTTTTGATTGAATCACTGCTGATTAGTGGATCGAAGAAACTAATAATCTATGTCCAGGTGTACCCGTAATCTTAGTCGGGCTAAAAAAAGATCTAAGAGAAGATCCAAACGCAATTGAAGAGATGGAACGTAACGGGTTAAGTTTCATTGACACAAAACAAGTAAGTAAAATATTTATTAATCAGAAGCATCGATTAATAAATAATAATAGCTTAGAGTAGTGGAATTAATAGTACACAATTAATCCGCGCCAAAAGAATGCATACAAGCATAAATACTTTCAGACACAATTACGCACACTAAGAGATACAGGCAAAAGCTTTTTTGTATCATATGTCTCTGTCTGAATGTCGTGTGCATATATGTATTATGTACCTTTGCATTTACTCCTGTTTCGTCATAATTCATCATCACAATAGTTTCTTTTTTTGGCCTATTTATATTCTTTTATCGTATTTTTAATATCATACACACACATAACATGCTAATCATATTTAAAAATAATTCAAAAAGGGCGAAGAAATGGCGCAACAAATCGGCGCAAGAAAGTATATCGAGTGTTCAGCTCTAACAGGAGAAAATGTCGATGCGGTATTTGAGGCTGCGTCCCGAGCTGCGCTCTTGATTCGTGATAAAGAGCCGGGTAATAATTGTGGATGCGTGATAATATAATAAATTATATTAAATAATGATGATCATCATAATGATGATCATCATAATGATGACATCCACAAATAAAATATAAATGATGATAATGATTATGAGTCAATAAAAGTTTGATACCGTTATTTAATGCATGTACTTATTATACATAACAAATGATGATAGTACTTGTTGATTAACGTTGCCGATGATAAAACCTATTCTTTATTAATATTATTACATAGAAGCTATTTCATGAATTTTCGAAAAATTTCTTGGGACAAAAAATACCGTAAAATTCGGCAAATAGTACCCAGGGCCTTTTAGTACCCACCGGGTATTTTGTGAAATGGATGGTACGTGGGGTTATTAACGAAACAAAAGTATATCCATTAGTGTTGCCCTAGTAAAAATCCTGTTATTTGCATTATCATTCTAGACTTGTGTTTAGGCATATCTTTTAGTAATCACTGTAAAGTTCGGCAAATAGTCCTCTTTGATAGTATTCCCCTTATGATTATCCAATTGCGTAAAAGATGTTTCCAAATTAGGGTTTCGGATAATTTCGGGTTTTGAAAAATAGCCACAGCAAAAAAAAGTGTCGGGTCATGCGACACGATGTGGGCTGACTGACTGAGTTTATTATATCGCGAATTCGTTAAGTTACATAAAAGTTAGATACAATAACGTTAAATATTATCGTTATTACATGCATTTAAGATCATCAAAGAAAAAATTATATGTTGATTTAATTAATAGTTTACATGTTAATTTTGACTAAAATAGACCTACTTTATATAGTAGTATTTTTTATAAATTTTGTCAGAGTTGCAGCATCAATTTGTTTACATGCATTGTTAAATGTTAATCTCAACATCATTTGATTTCCTATAGTCTGAGCTTACAGAAGATATTTTTTTCTTAAACTAATTTACTAGAAGTGTAAGAATTCCTATTTTAAAAATTTAATTAAATATTTAATTTAGTAACTTTTATTGATATTTATAAGATATAAATAGATTTTTAATAGTATTTTAAAATATCTTTTATTTTAAATATTAATTATTTTATTTAAATTAATATATATTAATTAATATAACAATCAATTAATCAAATTAAATAAACTTTTTTTTATTTGATTCTTATATTCAAAAATTTAAAATATAATTTTCTAATGTTAAAATGCAGGAATTTTATTTAAAGATTAATTATTTAAATATTTAATTGATATTTTTAAGAAAAATTACATATTAATTTTGAATAAAATTTTATAATTGAACTTAATAAAATGTGTTTTATTCAATATAGCATTTTTGATTATCTTTGCATGATTAAATAAAAATTGACTAATTGTCTTTAAAGTAAATAATAATATATAATTAGAATTAACAATAAAAATGATATTTATTTTTCTTGTTTATGTTGTATAACATCATAAATTTAATTCGTGAATATGATCTATTCCACGGCCTAAATTTTGGATTTAATTCACAAAACAAAATCTATTGATGAGTTTAGATGTTATGCACCATACAAAGACTGGCGAATCTTGAATCTGGAACTGTGCGCATCATTTTAAGTATTTTAAGTTAAATTTACCATTTGTAATCGAAAAAACAAAGTTTCTTTGATAGGTACATGGCTGACTAACAGTTCTCACATGTGAGTGAGACATAGTTAATTTAATTAAATTGCGTTATTTTTGTTTTTGATCTATACTTTACGTGGAAGTGAAGGAATACATAACGATAACATAAATAGGGAAATAGAATTAGAGTAATAACACAATGGATAGAAATTACTCTTTCTTTCCGAATTCCCTTCTTTCTGAATGGTGCAAGAGGGTTACAAATAAAATCTGACATATTTTTATGGGGATGCAAACAAACATGTATTTCATTTAAATTGGCTAAATCCTCTCACTCTGTTTTTTGTTATTCTATTTAGGCTAAAACAATTCTATTTTGCATAGCAGTTGTACAAAATTCAATCATCTTTAAATAACGAATGGTTTAATCTCATCTTTTATTTATCATTACCGTTACGATTAGCCTCGATGTTACCGAAGTTTCCATTATCTCGATTTAATCCTTTAAAGTGAAAAAAAGAAGTAAATTTAGTCCTTGTGATTTGATTTCGCGGTTGACACTATAATATTGATTCGGGTTTTATCGTTATAACAATGATAATCCTCCTGATAAAATTTCCGCTTGGTCTATCAATATGTATCCAATATGCAAAGCGCACAAATAAAGATCATTATTCCTTGATAATAATGTGACAACCCCATGCTTTTTATTTTTTATTTTTTATTCATAACCTTTTTCTCTTTCCTTTTTCTTCATTTTCTCTACTCGTGAGTGTATGTTCGTTATTTATAGGTTTCTTTTCTCTCCTTTATCCCTTCTCGTGTGTTACATACACCTATTACTATTACAATTACACCCAAGACATACACACATACACTCATTCTACAAAAAATATCCGTTGTTATCATTTTTTTCCTAAAACACGCTTTTTTGTGTCTCCAATAATAAAATATTAATTTCAAACCAAATAGAATATTTAAAAGAAATACACACGTTATTAGGCTGGACCGTGAGTTTCACATCCACAAATAATAATTTAATAGCATTTCTAAATCGTTATAAAATTCAATCTTTTATCCCCAAAATTATATTCTACACTGTAATTGTAGTTTTTATTTCCAAAATTTTATTATAAACCTAAACATTAATATATATAATTGTAGCCTTTTGTAATTATAATCTATCCAGTCTTTAACTTTTTTCACCGAAAAGAAAAATCCATTACTCGGCAGTCAATTAAAATGCATCAAAAATCAGGAGAAAAGTATTTGGAGGTCGATAAGCCTGCAAATTTTTTGCGGGAAACGTTAAAAGAGATGGAGGAAATAGACGCAACTGGGATCTTAAAATGTGTTGATCAACACATGGTTGATACTTATAATGCGATAAGTGCTGCAGCCAAGCTAGGCGCTTATCGATTATTGCATTTTGAAGAAATGCCACAGCAATGGCAAGAGAATCCGTGAGTCATTTTACTTGAATTTAAATTCAATGATATAACTTGAACAATAATTAACTATAATTGATCATAACAATAATTAATAGATACATTCGTTCTGGGTATCGATTCTTATCCACAAAGCGAGCTTGTCTTGAATCGATATTCTATTTGCACAATGAAACTTGTAATATTTGGTCCCATTTATTAGGGTTTATGTTCTTCCTAGGTCTCGGAATATACACTTTTAATACTCATCTGATGCACGCAACGATTTTTGATAAACTCGCTTTTGGCATTTTCTTCATAGCCGCTGCAAAATGGTAACTTTTTTTATTAATAGTTTGGATTGTATTGTTACTAGATTCGCTTATATTTATATATACGATATGTTTGTTAATATTGATTTGCTCTCTATTTATAGTTTGGTGTGCTCAGTAATGTATCATGTATTTATTCATTGTGCACATATACCAGGTAATTAATTATGTAATTTTTTTAATAATACGAGTTTCTATTATTTGAACTTAAATTGATATTGATTCATTATATATAGTAATGAAATGTGCGGCAACCTTCGACTATATTGGCATTTCACTTCTCATCACCGCCTCAATCCTCATCACGGAATACTATAGTTTCTATTGTTCTCCACTCGTTCGTTGCTTTTACATGATCTTCACTTCATTGGCCGGCCTTGTACCAATAATGTGCTCTATACTATTCAAATGGTGGGACACAAAACCGTATCGTTTATATCGAGTTGGTATGTTCGTAATGCTTGGCTCATCTGGAATATTCCCACTAGCGCATCTCATGCATTTACACGGCGTGGTTCACGTGTGGCACTTTGTGAATCCGATAATATCAAGCATCGCTGCCTATCTGACTGGCGTCTGGATATACGCTAATCGATTTCCCGAGCGAAAATGGCCGGGCAAATTGGATCGATTCGGAATTCATAGTCATTCAGTGTGGCATGTGTTTGTGTGCGTTGGTATTTATGAGCATTATCGGGCCTCTTTATGGTTCTTTGAGAAACGATTTTCGAGTTGTGCGTTGAATTAACGATTGAGCGATTCGGATTTTATTTTATTTTATTTTATTCGAAAAACAATTCAGAAACAATTCACTTTTTTTATTTTTGATATAGATGGTTATCAAGTGTATGGAAACTCAAAAAACTGTAATTTAATTAATTTGATTAGGAAATAGTAGATGGAAACATTTGGCATCCAAAAAAATTGTATTTATACATTAGAAGACTCGTTCATCTACATTATTATTAATTCTTTGTATTCAAATATAAATGAATTTTTGATATTGAATTCAGACCAATCAAATGATAATGATCTTAAGTGCGAATTAATTTCTTGCTTTTACATTTTTTTAGATCTGATTTTTAGATTGATTGAAGAAAAAAAATGTTTTTACGCTCCTGCCGTTACTTTACGCGTCGTCGTATCTCGCCGGATTATCAAACGTGTAGACACGCGTTAACATTATATTATCAATGATTTCAATGTATTTGACCATGAAATTCATAATACTTAATTTTTAGCTCATAAATACTATTCGACAACGACCTCTTCTTCCGACTTGCTAATCCAAAAAAAGATAAAACCATTAGATGGAATACGTGTATTAGAGTTAGGACAGGTTAATTGATATGGCTTATAATTATAGATTTTAATTGTGCTCACGAAGAATAGCGAAAATTTTATTTTATTATCCTGTTAGGTGATTGCTGGACCATTTTGTGCTTCTATATTAGGGTAATTAACTGAGAATTATTGTGGATTTGCTTACATCTTTAATTCTAGTTAATAAAATCAACCCATTTATTTAGATATTTTGGCGCAGAAGTGGTATGATAGTGCGTCTTTTGATTTATGAATAGAATTGCACAATATATATATATATACTGAAATCGCACGCTCAAAACAAAGATAAAAATAGAACCACCGAAATCCGGAGACCCATTGCGTATTTGGCGACACTTGGACAAGGATGGATGCAGTCCTTGGTTCCGATCACTTAACCGAAACAAAAAATCGTGCGAGATTAATTTACGTGCTGATGAAGGTCGAAAGTAAACTAATCAATAAACTAATCAATCTCGAATTCGAAACTTTATGTATATGGAGGCACGGTTAAAGATAATTAAGTTTTTTATCGCTTTTATTAGATTGATACGACAGCTGGCTGATAGATCGGATGTTTTGATTGAGAATTTTAAGCCGGGTACTATGGAGAAATGGGGACTTGGTCCAGGTTTCTTTTATTTCTCATTTATATCAATTTTGTAGAATTATATATATTTATTTTATTTCAATCAAGTCTTTTAATTTGCTGGATTTTTTGGGCACAAGAGGAATTATATAAAAGTAATCCTTCCTTGATTTATACACGTGTTTCTGGGTATGGACAAAATGGACCATATGCAACAAAACCTGGATACGCGTCTGTTTGTGAAGTATGCTATTTGATCAATATAGAATATCATCACAATCGTGAATTATTTTCACTCACCACATGCATAAATTAAATCGATGGAAAATAAGGGAATGGCAGGATTTCGTTACATTAATGGATTTCCAGGAGGACCATCTGTTCGCCCCAATATGTCACTTGGAGACTCCGTGGCTGGACTTACAGCTGCATTAGGAGTAACTATGGGTCTTCTGGCAAAGAATAAATTGGCCAACACTTCAAAAAGTGTCACTGGTCAGGTCGTCGACGTTGCTATTTACGAGTCGATGTTTAACATGATGGAAGGGATATTGCCAGAATTTGATCGATTTGGGGAGGTGAATAAATAATATTTTATTTCTTTGCGTCTAGTAAACAAAGATCATTAGATAATTAAAAGTGATTGGTGGGTGTTTAGATACGACAACCATCAGGCACGACATTAACTGGCATTGTACCCACAAACGCGTACCCATGTTCCGATAACAAATATGTAATAATCGGCGGTAACAGCGACGGCATATACAAACGACTAATGCGTACTGCAGGCCGAGAGGATCTAGCAACGCCCGAATACGAAACCAATAAAGAACGAGTAATTCATAAAGATCTGATTGATGGCGCAATTTCGGACTGGACGCGAACTTTAACGGCTAAAGAAGTCGTTGAGAAACTAGAAAATGCCGGTGTGCCTACCGGCTTAATTTACAATATTGAAGATTTTGTTTATGATGAGCATGTGAAGGCACGTGGTATTTTGGAAGTTGTTCGTGTGGAACGGCGTGGTAAAACGGAGAAAAGTGGGAGTAAGGCGGGTAGTAATAGTAGAGGTGATATAGATGATGATGGGTGGGATCTGACGGTAATTAACTTATAACATTACACTATTGTTTTAGCGAATTAAAAATTATAATAACATCTGAGCGTGTAAAATTCTATTATAGGTCCCAGCTATTGCTCCAAAACTCGAAGGCACACCCGGAGAGACATTATGGGCTGGACCTGATCTCGGGCAACATAATCGCGAGATATTTTATGACATTTTAGAATTGAATGAGGGTCGTATAAAAGAATTACAAGCGAGTGGGGTGATTGGGGAAACTATATAATCCTTTTATTTGATTTTGTCTTTAATGAACTCATCAAATATTCAAATATTTTTTCTAAATTTACTTTGGAATTGCAAATATAAAAAACGCACCACGCGCGTAAATTCATGCACACCCTACAATTTTATAAAACTGAATTTTCTCCATTAAAGTTTTCAATTTTAGATGGGAATATTATTATGGCACCATGCTCCCTGAACTCTAGATGATCTTAACCCTAATCCTAATCCTTAATTTTCAATTTGTTATTAATAATAAGTAAATTTATTAAAAATTATTAAATTAAAAAATGTTTTTTAATAATAATATTTGATTAATGAATAAGAATATTATTGGTTGCAATAAATTGATTTAGTATTAGTTATATAATTAAACCAATTAAACCAGTTTAATTTTGAATTAATTTAATTTAATATTAAGATTAATTAATTTTTAATTGTAATTATTTTATAAAAAAATAATTTAACAAAATCCAGTTTTTTTTTAGTTTCAGAAATCACAGATTTAGTTATAAACTTTTTATATGAAAATTTATTAAAAATAAAAAAACAGAAAAAATTTAGTAATTTTGGAATATAATTTAATAATAATATATTTGAAAATATATAATTAAATTTCTTTATAGTTATATTTGTTTATAATTATATTTTTCTATAATTATTTATTTTACTTTTTTATTTAAAATATATATAAATATAGTAAAAAAATCTCTTTATAATTATATTTTTTTATAATATTCAATTTTGCTTTTTCAAAAATAATAATTATTTATAAAGAAATTTAATTAATATATTTATTTTAATTTTGAACAAAAAAATTAATCATTATAATTTATATATACAATAAAAGTCAATATGATATATTTCACTATTTTTGTTATGCTGTTCAGTAAATTGATAAATCTGTTATAACAAATAAAATTTATATAATATTATTTATAGCTAATTTCAAAAAATAATCTATTATAAATTAAATCTACTATATTAATTATTTATTATATTAACTTTTATTATATATTCAATTTAAATAAAAATATTATTATTTGATTTATTAAACTAATATTTCAAGTTAATTTAATTTAGTTAATTAAATTAATTAATTTTTGAAAAATCAATTTAATTAACTTTATATATATATTTAATATATATATAATTACTATAAAAAAATTATTTTTATGTTATTATATAGTTAACTTCTTATTTTAGCATCATATTCCAAAATATGTAATTTAGCTTTTAATTATATAATATTTTATTCTTGTTCTATATCTTAAAAAGTTATATTAAACTTTACAAAATTTAGATATTTATTATTTATCAATTTATCTGATAGATATTTTAATATTATTCAAGTTATTTTTCATATAATAAATATAATATTATTAATGAGTTTAAGTTAAAATATGTATGTTAATTTAAAGAATCATCCAATATAAATAGTAATTTTTGCTTTGCTTGGTGCTGTAAGTTAAAAAATTAGTACTTCAATTATTCATAAATTATTTTATATATTAATTATTTTATTTTTGCTTGTTCTTTTACAAAGTATTCATTATATTTTATTTTTAGTAGTATTATTAGAAATATAATAGAAAAATGTTAAAAATGCATATATAATACTATTATTATTTTATATAAATTATAATTTTATTATAGAAAGACTAAATATGATATTTTAATTAATTGTGATTTGTAGTATTTAATTAGAGAATTGTAATTTAATTATAATTAATTGTGATAGTTAATTAGAGAATTGTGATCAAGTTGCAATTAATTATAATCTTATCTTTAGAGAAGACATATGATTAATACATAATATTAAATTAAATGAGAGAGTTTATATATTAAATAATATTGAAGTAAAAGAAAATACTAAGTTTACTAAAAATAGATAATGTATATTTATTTTGTGATTAATTAGAATGAAACCAAAAAGAAGTTTAGTTTATAAACAAGTTAAATATTAATATTTATTATCTTATATTAGAAAATTTTTATATCTAATTATAATTAATTATTATCTAATAATTAACTATTATTAATTGTTAATAATTAATTATAATCAATTGCAATCAGATATAATTAATTTTTTGTTTAGAATCAGTAATTATTTATAATTAATAATTTTAATTAATCAATTATAATTAATTATAATTATTTTTAATTAATTATAATTAATTATAATTGTTTATTAATTTTTAATAAAATTATATAATTTTAATCAATTTTTAAATTTAGAGCAACCACAAAATATCTTATTCTTCTAATTTTTTATAAATACAAATACTAAATTTTTTTTTAGAGGATAAATATTAATTATTATGATCAATAAATAAATAAGAATAATTATATTTTAATTGATTAATTAAAATCTGAGTTAGGATTAGAATTAAAATTCTGTATATATAATTAGTTAATCTTGAAGTTATAGCAGTTATTAAAATTAAATTAATCTGATAAATAAATAATAATTTATTTATATTTAATAAAAATTGTTATTTTTAGATAGACTACAATTAATATTATATTAATTTTAATTTTATAAATGATTAATACAATATTTATTATATAATTAAATCACTCAATTAATTTTTTCAGTTGCACATAATTTTTCTTTTCAACTTGATTTAAAGAAGTATTCAGATTCTGAATATGCTGCTCTTTGAACTTTATATTAAAAAAATTTCTGTCATTAGAAGATCTAATTTCTAGTATCTATTTTTTATTTATATTGATTACTCTATCAATTTATCTTTTACAAGTACATATATAATATTAGGAAGCTTTCAAAATTTAATTTTTGGTATTAATTCAATAGATATTTTAAGCAATATTTTATTTTATTAATATTTTATTAATATAATTATAATTGAACAAATAATAAAAAAATTAGTATATAAAAAAATATATTTAGAAAATTTGCTATTCTAATTTGATAATTATCAAATCTATTATATTTCTGATAATAATATCTTAATTTTTTATTGTTCTTTTTTGTTTCTCAAATATTGCTTTTATTTCTTTTATTTCTTCTATTATTTTTTTATTTCTTTTTTTATTTCTTTTATCAGTATATTATTTGATTTTTTGAATATGTATCTGAGAATACCATTACACATATTTAATATATTTATAAAAATAAATTATGATTTGATGAATCTGTTTTGTTTATAGTAAAGATGATATAATAACAAATAAAATATCATCTAGTTATAATTAGTTGTAGCTTATAAAATTTTTAAATTGCAATATATTGCAATAGGTGACAAATAAGTATTATATACTTGCTATATTATCTCTAGTCTATAGTATATAATAAATAATCATTGTGAATTAAAATTACAAAAATTTTTAACACTTTGCTCTTTTTGTATTTTTGACATTATTCCTTTAAAAATATTAATTTTACTGATGTCAACTTTTATCAAAGAATAATTTTTACATTGGATTAAAAACATATAATTTTATAATTTTTAAATATATTCATACCATTATTTTTACTTGCTATCTTATATAATAAGTATAAAAATTTATAAGTAAATATTATTATCATCAAAATAAATATTCCAGAATCAAACATGAATTATTTATTTATATATCTTATTTATTATAATTTTTACTTAAAGCTTTTGGATAATAAGATAAAAAAAAGGATATTCACAAGTATGATTACTTGACTAATAATTTCTTATAATAATTATAATATATTTCTAGTTCTTTGCTATTATATTATATTATTCTAGTAATAGCATAACTTTAAATATATAACAACTGAATAATTATTTGTAAATTAAATAAATATCTTACTGTACTCTATAATAGTTAATTTAATACTTTTAAAACTAAGATTTCAAACTTATTTCCTTTAGTAATAAATGAGATAATCATAATTAAAATTATTAATAAATTAATAGTGATAATAATTAATTATTAATAATCAAATTTTTAAACAAATATTAAATTAATTATTTGTTTAGAATTGCTTAATATCCAATAATAATATCTTGATTAGAAATGGTGCAGCAAGTACATAATGCTTATTTGTTACCTGTTGCAACATGTTTCAACTCCAAAATTTTATAAGCTACAACTAGTTGCAACTAAATGATACTTTATTTATCATCATATTGCAACAGTTATTATGTTATCTTTAATCTTGATATCTAGTAATCTGATTCTTATAAAATACTATTATTTGATTTAGCTTAACAAAATAAATTAAATTATTGAAGTATCAAGATATTATCACAGAATATTAAAAATAAGATTATTACATATTGAGATAAAATAACTAATTATATTTAATATACAAGCATATAATATCTAATATAAAAGTTTCAACAATTTATAAAAAATATGAATGATTAATATTCTTTGTATTCAGAAATTCTACACATAGTAATAGGATATTTTTGCAAATTAAGACACTTATAACCTATATATATAAACAAATTATTTTTTTCATTATTTATATATCTTTTATATTTGTCTTGATTTTTTAATATCATCTGATAATAACACACATAAACAAATTATCTCTTTAAATTTGACAAGAAACTATATTCAAGAATTAGTTATTAATTTTACAATATCATATAATAATAATATATATGAACAAATTATCTTTTTAAATTTGGCAAAAAATTATATTTAATATCTCAAAAATTTAGTTATAAATATATTTGTATTTTTTCTTTATTATTTTATTTATTAAATAAAACTATTAATATATTAAAATTATTAATATATTAAAACTATTGACATATTAAAATTATCAATACATTAAAATTATTAATATATTAAAACTATTAATATATTAAAATTATTAATACATTAAAATTATCAATGCATTAAAATTATTAATATATTAAAACTATTAATATATTAAACTATCAAACATATAAAAACTATTAAACATATTAAAATTATTAAAAATTTTAAATTATCAATTGCATTAAAATAATTATAATTATATATATTCATATTTAATATAAATATCAA